GCCGGGCTTGTGCGGGGCGCGCTGGCGGCTGCGGGCGGCGGCGGGGGAGCGGCGGGCGGCGGTGGTGGCGGCGATGGCGGCGGCGGCCACAGGCTGCTGGCTCTTACGATGCTGTGCATGGAGCCTGGCTGGGAGGCGAGCGCGGGGGACCTGCTGGGGGCGGCGTTCGAGGCGTTTCCCGACAAGGTGGGCAGGCGGCCTGGGCGGGCGGCGGTGCGGGGGCGTGGGTGGGGCGGTCGCAGGGCCGGGCGCCGCACCCAATCAGAACCCATAGGCCTGCACGCGATCACAGCTGGATGAATGTCCTCGCACCTTGCAATCAGGCCGGCGCTGGCGGCGGCGATCATTGATCAATTGTCACCCATGCACGCATGCGTAAAATGCATGCATTTTGAACCCATGCCCGCATGCACACGCAGGACTATGCGGCCATGACACTGCCCCATGCGGCCCTCGAGACACCTGTCTCGCCGCTGATGACGCCCCTGCCGCCCGCCTGCGGGCCGGCGGAGGCGGCGGCTGCATTCCCGGAGGTCCTGGTGCTGGCGCACCGCGCGGCGTCGATCGCAGACTTTGAGGTGAGGCGCCGGGCGCGCTGTTAGCAAGCTGCCTGTTGCCGTCCACAAGCGTGCTGTCAGGCCGCCTGCCGGCATTGGTCGACACGCGGCCGGCCCGCCTGTCGGGGTTGGTGCGCGACCAGGCGGCCTATTGGCGTGCAAGACGCCCAGCAACGAGATTGCATCACCTTGCGCTGGGCTGCCAGGGTTGGGCAATCCACGGCGGCAAGGGATCATTGCCATGCTACCTTAATAACTGCTTTGCTGACCAAGTGGACCGATACCCGCCCGCCCGCCTGCTTATCTGGCGCCGCCGCGGCAGGTGCGGCTTGCGGCGCCAGGTGACACACCTGGTGTGTTCTCGCTGGTGACGGGCCTGCCCGACGCGCCGGCGCTGACGGAGCGCTTCATGCTGGCGTTGGGTGCGTGCGGCTGAGCGCGCTGACAGCGAAAGCTTTGAAGGCAGCTCATTGGGGCTTGGCTTCGGTCGGATGAGTGTATGTGTACGTGAGTGTGTGTGCTTGTGTGTGAGCGCTCGTGAGCGTGTGTGTGTGTGTGTTTATCTGTGTGTGTTGCGCGTGTGTGCAGCTGCAAGCAGGCCATGACCAACGCTTGCGGGATTACCTGCCCCCACGTCTATTCGAGCCTCCTGGCCGGCGCTGCTGGCAAGCGCGCCCTTGAGACAACGGCGCGCAGCATCCCCACGGCCGTGCACTCACAGCCGCTTGCATACACGCAACGCCCCCCTACCACTCCGCCCGCCCGCCGATAGGCCGCAGCGCAGCCGCCGTGGCGCTCGTGCGCGGCGAGGTCGTCGGTATGGCGGCGGCGGCAGCTTCCGCCAACACGGAAGCCCTGCGGTCGGTATTCGACCTGGACGCCGCGCTGCCGCCCGCCAGCTTCCCATCAGAAAGCTTCGCGCTGCTGGAGGCGTGCGCCATTAACCCCATATTCGAGCCCCGCGCCGGGGCGTTCCTGTCGGCGTTCCTCAGGCTGCTCAAGCGCCGCGCCCTGCTGCACGCCGCGCCGCCCGGCGCGCCGCCCCCGCCCTGCGTCGCGGCGTGCATGGCGCAGGTCGCGCCAAGGCTGCGCACACCGGCTGGCGCGGCGGCGGCGGCGGGCGGCTGCCTGTATGCTTTCACCAAGGACCCGTGCCACAAGCGCGCGGTGCATTCGAGGGTGGGTGTCGTCGGCAAGTCGGGGTCCCAGTCAGCGCTGGTCATGCAGCTGGCTTCTCGAGGCGTGTTGAGCTGTCCCCTTCATTGCCCCTCTACCCTTCCCCCTCCCCTGGGGTTGGATTATCTATGCACTAAAGCGGTGCAAGTGCCATTCTCAGCGCTTGCTGATGCAGCGCGGCGTGGCGGCCATGTGTTTCACCAGGATGCTTCCCTCCTTATGCCGTCTCCGCAGATTGTGGTGGTCGGCGCGTCAGAAACGGCCCTCTCCTGCGTCGAGGCGCTGCTGACCGCGCCGCGCCACCACCGCACCGCCTTCCCAAACCTCACCCTGCTCGCGCCAGCCAGCGCGCTCGCTTTCGCAGCCGCCGGCGGCAGCGCGGCGAGCGCGCAGGAGAGCGGCTGCGGCGCCGCGGAGGCGGCGGCGCGCGCGAGGGCCGCGCGGCTGGGCTTGGAGGGGGGCGCCGCGGCGGTGTTGGTGGTGGAGGGGGCGGTGGCGGCGATTGACATCGAGGAGCGCGCCGTGGTGCTGGCGGACGGCTGCGGCGCCGTGCCATACGACGTGCTGGTGCTGGCGACGGGCCTGCAGGCGCGCCGGGCGACGGGTGGTCTCAGAGCGCATGAGGCGCCGCGCCATCAATGTGCCGCTGTCAATACAGGGCCGTGGTTCGTGTCGCCTGTCGCAGCAGCAGAGGCTGCTTTTCATGCCAGGGGCATCCTGATCTCCGGGCTGCTTTTTCAAACCTGCACTCCCCGCCATCCCGATGCGGCCCCCCACCTTCCAGGACCCCCTGCCCGCACGGATGGCGGCCGCCCACCCGGAAGCTTCCGGCCTCGTGGTCACCGGCGCCCAGCTCGCCGCCGCCCTCAACCGGGCCGACGCCGCGCGCGACCTGGGTATAAGCAGCGCGCTGATCGTCGGCGGCGGGCTGGAGGCGTATGGGGCGCTGGCGGCCCTGCTGGACTGCGGGGTGGGCGCGGGTGAGGGCCGGCCGAGTGGGCGCGGGGCTTGGGGGACAGGGAAATGGAGGGATGCGATGCCGCTGGCGTCTGCTTTTTTTGTGCCGACCACAACGGCAAAACAGCGGTGCAGGTTGCCAATGAGCGGCCACAGCGACAGTGACAGCGGCAGTGACAGTGGAGGCGACAACAGCAGCGGCAGCGGCAGCAGCAGCGGCAGCGTCTCTTGCATTGCACCACCGCAAAGCGTGCTTGAACAGCTGGCAGACATCAAATTGTTGGTGCTGCCCGCGCCCCGCCTCGCAGACGCGATCACGTGGGTCGCGGCCCCCAGGGAGGCCGCGGCTGCCGGCCCACCGCAGCTGCTGCGCGCGCTCGCGCGGCGCGCAGGGCTGGAGCTGCCGGCTCCGCAGCAGGGCGCGCTGCGCGCAGTCGGCGTGGCGGGCGGCAGGGACGGCGGGGCGCGCGCCGCGTGTGTCATGGAGGTGCGCGCGCGCTTCTGCCTGCGGCCGCTAGCTCAGGCGCACTGCGTGAATGCGGCCACCGTCCCTTAGTGCACTCTCTTCTCGAAACGACCCAAAGCAAGTGGTGCTGGCCCCCGCCCTCGGCCCTGCCAGACACGCTCGACGCACTCACCCACCCATCCACCCCCAAGTCCCCCCAC